GTTCGCAAACTCTTGAGCATCAACAACAGTATCATATATTCCGCCATTGTTGTGTATGTTTGTTCGCGCTTGCCTTTAAAATCAACACGTACTGCGCATGTCTACATAACTAACACGTACTACGCATGCGCCGTTTTCAAAGATTTCCGTATTGGGTGTTTACACGGAAACGATAACGGTGGCGTTTTCAAAAACTTGCACTTTGAAACCCGTTTTCAAAAATATGCGTTTTCAGTCCCCAAAACGCCGTTGTCATGTAAACGAACAGGCAAAACGCATAAAAGTTTCCTGTTTTTGGCTGAAAACGTTGTCGTGTAAACGGCCCCTCAGTTTGTGGATTTGAACTATGGATATTTAGGATTAAGTTTTGTGACAATAGCAGTAGTTTTACTTTGGATTATCTGAGAACATTCTGGCTGATTCTTGTGTAAATTGTAAGGCAATTATTTGAACTTCCTTTACTGTCAGGTTATTGTCGTGTTTTTTTTTTTTAAAGAGACCACCACAAATGCAACAAATTTGTCAAGGAAAATGAAATAAATTTATAATGATCTAATCTCAACATGCAGAAATTAGCTGAAAGTGGATTTAAATGCCTAGTTACCACAGTTAAACTCATATGAGAAACCATTTGATTACATAAAAACTTTCCAAAGTTTCTTTTTAAAAATATTTTTATTTATTAAAATATTTTAAAGAGAATTTTGGAATTCTTTGGGAAAATCTTGGAATTAAGATTTTGCAACCTTAATAATTATGCCTAAAATATTGGAACCAACTAAGAATATAAAAATTGATATTTTCTTTTTGTTTGTCACTCACTTTTTGTCTCAGCAAGCAAACCACGCTAGCGGCTTGTGTAGTGAACATCAATGACGTTATGTGACGTTAGTCCTAAATGATTAGTTTAAAAGCAGGCGTTAGTAGGTGTTCATCCCACTGCTAAATTAACCGTTTGGCAGAGGCCTCCGCTTGATCTTAAAGTCATAATTTTTCACGGCTGACTACATTTCTGTTTGTCATAATCAGTGTTGGGCAAGTTACTTCCAAAATGTAATACATTATATATTACTAGTTACTGTCTTTTGAAAGTAACAATTACATTACAAAAATGCTCAGACAGGGAAAATATGTCAGAGCGAGTCTGTGTCAATTCACAGTTGTGCCCTGAAAGAGTATTCAATGCATCATCGCTTCCTCCTCCGTAATCCTCAGTCTAATTCAATTCAGAATGACTGATCTAAAGGAATGGCATTCGAGAGACCGACTGCGGTTGTCAGGTGTGAGAAACTCTGTGTTGTTCTGACAGTGTGAATTAAAACACATACGGCGTGAGACACTACAATTCGGTCATTATCAAATCAATAGCGCAATCACCATTCTGCAGAGGCTGAGATAAAAAATGGGTTATCAAAAAAAAAAAAATGCAGAGAGAAGAGGTAATGCTGAAATCCAAAAAATCCCTAGTTACGCATCCAACACTTTGCTTTTACACAAACATGACCGTATTTGCTTACAAATGTTGGCTTTGCTGTAATTGGAGCAGCTGCGTGCAACCAATTGTGCCACGATCCATTAGTTTGATGCCTTGTCATTAACACGGGAAGGAAAGAGCAAATCTAAATACTTAGAGAGATGAGCAGAGGGAGCAGGGTGTGCGTGGGGGTCAGGGGTCACTGAAAAAAGCATCATTAGTTAGGTAGCACTGACATGTGAATGCAGCGGGGCAGCATCCATTCTTAAACACTTGTCAATTGGCGTGGCAATGAGGTGAAATATGCGTTATCGCATATAATGGCTTGCCAGGGGAAGGTCGGCCTGTTTTACAATGGGAAGAGGAGGATGTGAACCTTAGGTGTTTCGCACATAGCTTCCCTTTCCTTTAAGTTAGTGCAGAGGTAACTGTGCAGGGTTTTGCGGTAATAAACTACAACTTAAGCTTTCTAAGGGAGCAGGAAGGGTTGTGAACCTGCTCCAGGAAATGATGGGAACAAGGTCTGCTAACTGTGGTTTCTTTGTCTTTATCCAGACAAACATTCACAATAACGTGTCATTTCTCTAGAAATGAGGTTCGTCTTTCTGAGTTATACTCTTGGTTTCATATTTCTCTCTTACTAAGAATCACTGTGGCATTTTCTGCCATTTCGATGGTGTTCCTGATAAACATCTTAAGAAGAGAAAGGGGTTTCTAACAAAGGTCACCCTGATGGTTAAGTGGTTCTTTACAGCTTCTGCCAAAAACCGAAGAGGAATCCATCTTTGTTTGCTTGTACTCACGTTGCTATCTTATCTTGCTGTCTAAAACAACCTCTCAGATCTGGAAGATGCTCAAGTTCTTCACGGTGACTGGCAATCTAACTAGGATGATTTGCCAATTGTTCAGTCTAGCAGTTTCACACAGGCTTAATGTGACATTTCGACTGGATCGTGATGAAGTAGCTATGACCAAACAGAGATGCATGTGAGGAGGGCTTTTGAGTTATATGCATATAATTACAAAAACAGCATTTATCATTAGACACTTAGGGGGCATCTTGAAACTCACTCTGCAATCCATAAAAAGACTAAATTTATCATTATGAGATTAAATACAACCCTAAAACGTATTATGCTTTTTGACCATTATTCTTAAATCTTCTTGAGAGAAGATGACTTCTCAGGGGTTTTTCCTTTGTGAGATTCCAGAATTGGAAAGGAATCAACACAATAAGGTCATTGTATCCGATTGAAGTGTGGAGGTGAGAGATAGCCATTGGGGCGGCCATCGTCACTGTCAACACACTGAGTTCAGTCTGAAGGAATGAGGAGGAGGAGGATATTGAGCTTACGGAAATGCCTTAGAACTTGTGAAAAGTGACTCACAAGTAGGGTTGGGAACCAACCCGTATGACGATTGTTGTCTGATAAGAGAACAAATGACTCTAATGATCCTGTTCTTTTTAGTGACTCAACAACACACAGCACAACCAGTGTAGTCTAATTCCTTACAGAATGACTCCGAGTCGGTTCTTCTTAGTGAATCAAACACACTAACTAACTGAAAACAGGTAGTTAAAGATACACATTATGCGTTTTTCCAGTTGTATTTTCTAAAATGAGTAAAATGTTACAAAATATGTTTTTCTCCAAAAGTAAAGTACTAAAAAAAAGTACTAATAAAGTAATAAAGTACTAAAATAAAATCATTAAGGAACGAGAATCAATAACCACAGCAATTCTTGGATCATTCACTCACCCTCATGTTGTTTCAAACCTGTATGACTTTCTTCTTCACCACAACACAAAAAAATTATTTTAAAAAATTGGAAGAATGCTTCTCACCTTACAATGAATGTCATCGGGGTCCAAAACAACTGGGACCCCATTGCCTTTCATTACATGGACAAAAAACACAGACATTTCTTTTTAAATAACTTATTTTGTGTTACACATAAATGTTTCAGGTTTGGAAGAACATGAGGTTGCTTGCTAGACACTTCCTCCGTAACTTGCACTAATTGGAACCTTTTCCCCAAAGCAATTTTGGACACAAATGCAGATATAAAGTATTGCAACAGCTGTTAACTTGAAATGTGGAGTTAGGTTACATAATTCATTATTCCAATCCCACATCTGATTTTGTTAACATATATTTCCTGAGCAGTCCCTGTTCTTTCTTGACATGACAAATGTAGCTGAAAAAAAATAGGAACTCTTGGGCATTGGTGGAAAACAACAAGCCCTTGATGCAACTTATGCAACATTCAATGGCGAATGAACTTGTCCAGGATGTACTTGACTTTGAATGTTTAGGAACAAAACAAATGGCTCTGTGGATTAGTGAGGTTTTGCTGTGGGATGTGGACAGCTCTCTTACAGCAGGAATGTGGACGAGGGTTGTTTTGGGATGGGGGTGGATTTCAGTTTGAAGTGTAGGGGGAGGGCTTGAGTGGAAAGGGGGCTGGCCCAGGGGGGTCTGACTACAAGGAGACATGCTACTTGGCACATACATCGATGCATTCATTTCAATGTGTTCAGAAACACAAGAAACAACAGCATTCTCACCGACTATCCATGCTACTGACCCTCAGGGGAATTTAGACGGAATTTACATTATATTGTTGTGGTCATGCTTGCTAGACCCTTCCTTCGCAACTTGCACTAATTGGAGGCTTTTCCTGAATGCTGCAGGATGCATTACACACAGGTAAGATGCTTCTCGAAATGCAATCAAGTCTAAACTAGTCTTACTCTGTAAATATGAAATTCTAGATTCAAAAGCGTTTCATATTTGACATAGTAACTCATGGCCAACACTGAACGCACACTTTCCTGTCTGAGGTGCCAGTCAGATCAGTGGCATACATCTGGAGCGTGTTAACATTTCTCTGCTGTTGTGACTTTTTTTAAAAATGACCTCTCTTCAATTTTCCTGTTTTTGCCACAAAGCAACACATTGTGGCTGTGCCAGAGAGCGACAAGATGTAATGTGAGAGCTTGTGTATGTTGGCCTTGGAAGCCACAGCAGGCATTTCCTACTCTCAAAGACAGTTTTTAAAGAAAGTTGGCAGAGAAAATATGTAGAGGGCCCTGTTTCTTTCTAAGGCATTAATGATATAAAATCCTAGTCTACCTGTTTTCTCATTGCTTAGTTCAGAGGGCAGGATGTGGATCTGACCATTCATTCTCATTCAGGTGTGGTAATTGCTGAGAAGTTACTGGGCACTCATGTGAGAAATAAATTCGCATTTTCATTTGACTGGGGTCATAGAAGGTGAGCTGTATTGTGATTGAGGCAATCCAAATGACATTTTCCATTAAGAGAACAGGGAAAAGGACATCTGCCCTAAGATATCCCTACCTATCGATGCCTCTTTGTATTGCAAATCTATTATCTTTGCTTCTTAGGGTAATTGAAATACTGAGAATAACAGGTAACTCATAACATGCACAAGACCAGGAGCTATCTAAATCTATCTATAGTGGGCAATCAAGACTTACGATAAAACATTAAATCTGTAATCTATCACATAAAGGACTAAGAGTTTTTAGGACTTTCCCTGTGACTCGGGAGCAAGCCGAGAGGGGGCTTGTGAAGCTCCAAACTCAACCCAAACAAGGGCGTCCAACACACTATATCGGGGCGGGCTCATTTGCAATTCAAAACACTTGAAGCAGGAGCGTTCTTTTCAACATCTTGGGACCAAAGGCATTTTATCTGACAGAAAGTACTCTGAAGTGCTTAAGCATCAAGATAAAGAAGGCCTGGAGAAAGAGCCACGAGTGTTTAATCCTGCTTCGTGTACACATTGACATCTTATCTGCAAGCTTAAAGCTTGGCCTGAAAGGCAAGACTCTGCTGACATTTCAAAGCACAACTTCCCTTCATTTTAAATATCTGGCATTTCTCAAGGCTCAGACAGATAAAGGAAACCTCACGCTGTGTATTAGCACTGGGAGTTGCTCTCCATCTCCATTTTTAAGATTTTTTGAGAAAATTTTCCCCCTAAGGATAATGCATATTTCACAAAACAGATGCAGCTGTAAAATTTGGGTATCAAACTTTAAAATCTAAATCCTCTCTTTTTTTATCTGAATAGTGGCCCCATCTGATGAGTCTTGAGACTACATCAGGGATCTGGCCCATTACTCGGGCACCGGACATGGATTTGAGAGGAGCCAAAGTGACAATAGGATTTCAGAGGAGCTCAACCTCTGATGACGACTCTGGATGTGCTCTGGAAGAGTACACATGGGTTCCTCCTGGACTACGACCTGAGCAGGTAAACCTTGAGCCTCATTTCTCCTTATATGCATAGATTTCTCACCAAAGTCGAGGGCAGACTGCCATAACTAGAAGTATAAAGCATTACTCATGCTTTTGATACTTCTAATTATCTGCAGACATCCAAAAATTCAGGCAGAAACTGTCTTTCCCTTTCTGACTCCACAATTTTTAGACAGATTTCACGCCAGACAGAAGCACCTTATTCAAAGCATTCCCTACAAAACTCTTTTTCTCGTGGTTTTACTTCAAGTCTGATTCTCAGCCAATTTAGGTTTGTGATATAAAACCAGCCAGTCAAGCTTTTGAAGTTTGATGCTGCCTTCACACTTGGGCATGAGATTTTCTGAGCTTCTGAACGTGAGGTTTAGGCAATGCATGCATTGCTGGCATCTCATCTACCCTGAAACACAGCTCCACATGACCTTGCACGGAGGCCAACAGCTCTTAATGAATGTACACTTTGACGTGGGCAAAGTCTGGCAAGCTTTCTGAGTGGAGACTGGACCCTCTCAACATTGACATTGAGCACACATGTGACCTATATCTGACCGACAGGGTGTTGATAGCTGAAAGTAGTAGAAAACTTTTAAAGGGCAGAACAACTAGTAAAGAACTACAGAGAGATATTAGTATTAGGAAAATTAGGGAGAGAAAATATTTACATGTTGAAAATTCAGCCATTTTTCTTAGAAAAGAAATACCATGGTGAGAAATGAGAATTAGTGGTAATTGCTTTGAATCCTCCCTGCGGTGTACAAACTGTTGCAGGCATTTTATTTCCCCACAGAGACGAGTCTCAGCAAGTGAAGTCATTAATGGCAAAATGCTTAAACAAACTACTGCCATAGTCTGGCAGTAAAATTAATAGCATTGTTTTCAAAAAATATATCAAATGACTTGTTACACTTTTTAGTTTGCATGCCAATTAATTAACCACTATATTAAAACTATGTAACTATCCCTGTGGTTCAAAAGGTAACACTTTACAATAAGTTTAAATTTATGTATGATAAAACATTTATGTATAATAAACATTTAAAGAGCATTTATTAATCTAGGTTAAAAATGTCAATTCATAAATTATAATATTCAATAATATATTTTAAGTTAGCTATTACAATTAGAGAAGTACAAATTAGCTATTGAATTAGATTAAGTTATCATATAGAACATTATTGTAAAGTGTTCAAAGTGTTAAAAAATATTACCGCTGTCAAAGCTGGTGTTCCTCAGTGCATTGGCTTAAACTGCTTGAATTGTACTTGTGTGGTTCAAGCACTAGTCTCAACAAAACAGCCATTTAGAAAACCTGCTTTCTTGCCCTGCTGTGTGCAGTAGGCAAACAGAACTGAGACTGTGTCTAGGGGCTAGTTGGCACTTTCCTGAAACAAGGCAATACACAAACACACATGCAGAACCAACGGGGGTGGAGGTTGGTCTAGAGTGAAAGAGAGTCTGGAGTGAAGCTGAATGTGTTTTTCTAACCCCCACCTTCTCCTCGTTTTTCAAAACGTGGAGTGGGAGGCCTGACATCCTCATGAAAGCTCTTCTCTCAGTTCTGAGAAATGCACAGCAATCAGCTTTGAATGAGGAAAAAACTGCAACTTGAAGGCAAAAACACAATTCCTGAGATTTAGAGAGAATTTAGGGCAATTTGTATGACAGCTCTGGGTAACGAATCCCACTCACATCACAACCCCACTGCTACAGAAATAACAATCTGCCTTCATCTGGATAGTAACACTTAAACACAAGGAACATTCCAGCAGGCATCTATCTTTGTGTCTTTAATGGCGTACCGCCCCGTAAATATTCTTCAGGGTCACCACTGACAGACACCGCCGTTTAAATACTTTTTCTCGGTCAATGATATACCCACTTACCCGTTGATGGGGGAGATGATCGGGAGAAGTCTATATGACAGGTTGAATGATGTAGCACCAATTGAGGCTGGTGTCTCATTTCAACTTTCAGCTGTTGAAAGCAAACCCTAATCCTCTCACTCTCTGTTTGCCTTCTTTCCCCATCAGGTTCAGATCTACTTTTCGTGCCTGCCAGAGGAGAAGGTGCCATATGTCAACAGCCCTGGAGAGAAAAACAGGATCAGACAACTACTCTATCAGCTGCCACCACATGACAATGAGGTATGAGGAAAAAACTGAACAATGAAAGTGACAGAGATGACATCCATGCTGCTAGAATACACAA